TTTTGTATGTTTCTCGACTTAATATTCAGCTTCTTCGGCTTATTTTAAAGTGTTGACTTATATTTTGTTTGTTTGATTTTTTTTACTTTGTCGATTTGTTTAACCATTGACTTATTTTTTAATTCTTGTAGACTTAATTTTCAGTTTTGTCAACTTATTTTAAACTYTTGACATATWTTATCGTTTACTTGATTTTTTACATTGTCGACTTATTTAACCATTGAAATATTTTTTATTTTTATCGACTTAATTTCCTGTTTCGTCGATTTTTTTTAAACTGTTGACTTATGTTTCGTTTGATTGACATTTTAAGTTATCGACTTATTTAAACTACTTACTTATTGTTTTTAGTTCGTTGACTTAAATTTGTTTTTCATCAATTTATTTTACACTTCCAATTTATATTTTGGTTGGCTGACTTTTTGCTCTATTGAATTGTTTAAACCATTGATTTAATTTTATGTTCATCGACTTGATATATTATTATCTAAATTAATTAAACTTTAAATCAGAAAATTAATTAAAATCAATTGGTAATTTTATTTTATAAAAAAATATCAGTTGTTAATTTAATTATTATCAATTGGTAATTTAATTTTATAAAAAAATATCAATTGTTAATTTTATTTTATAAAAAATATCAATTGTTAATTTTATTTAATTTAGGGGGAATCACAAAAATGCCACAAATGGGTCAACAGTTTACAAAACTGCCACACACGCTGGGCCCTTTACAAAAATGCCACGATTTTATCCGAGAATGACAAATTTACCCCTAAAACAAAAGAACGCTCTCAATATTCTCTCTCCCAAAACCTAATCGCCATCGGCACTTTTCATCTCTTTAGAAAGGAAATCGAAGCTTTCATTTTTAGAGGTCATTCGAGAGGAAATCGAAACGTATTAGAGGTAGTTTTCATCTCTATTTCTCGATTTCTCAATCTAGATCTAGATCTAGTTTTTGATTCGCAATTTCGCAATTTCGTCGATTTGTGTAACAGATTTTACTAGTTTATTTGATTTTGTCAATGGTTTTTCGATTCGCGACTATCCGAGATTGTCAATATGAGTTTCAAACTCGTCGTCGCACTTGGTTTGAATATGTCAATCTCGGTAGTTTTTCTTTATTAATGTGAATCTGGGTAAATTTATGGGTTTTAAACAGTTTTTAAAACGATAATATATGAGATGGAAATTGATGGTTTAAATCTGTAAAACTAGATAAAGTTTTGTTCTTGAAGTGATTACGGATAAAATTCAGACAATTTACATATTTTATAAAAAATTTTAACAGTTTATAAATCAATAATTGACATGTGTTTTCAACAATTTTTCAGATGTATCAGACAGATGATGAAATATTTGGCAGCATAAACATGCCATAACAGATTTACAAACCTGGTTTTGAACCTGACGATAATAAAACGGTGACCTGCTATTAGTTGATACGGTGCGAGCAATACTAGGACCTGAGTTATTCAGTAGGATCGAAAACAATTTTTTCGGTCCTATTGTACAACTTGCACAGCGGAAT